CCCCAGTATTGCCTGCCGAATGCTTCTGTGCACGAGATGCCCACTACTATACCTCGACTTCAGCTCAATCAATCTCCACCGTCAACGTCGCGGCTCTCGTCGCGATTTCATTCGACGCTCTTTACGATCTCAGAGCGTCGCCCGTCGCATGTAGTAGCTCAGGGAGAAAGTCCCAAACCATTATTGCAGCGCAAAAAGAAGGAACGAGAGGAAAAGATCAACGATCCGCTACATAATGTTGATTGGCTCAATATTAGCCCTCGACTGATGCAGCTCGTCAAGAACGATCTACCGAAGCTCTTCGAGCATGTACGGAGCGACGACTCGTCTCCGGCTTCTATTGTGCTTGTCAGTCCTCGTACTGTGAGTCGCGCTTCATGTTGCTTCTATGCTAACCACTGAATGAAATCCCTACTGTTTGCTTTGCTGCCTCTCTTTTCCTTATTCCCTTTGAACGTTACCGTTGAACCATGAAGTTTTTGCTCATTCAGCGATTTCGCTTTGGCTTTGGTGAAAAATATGTACGCATAAACTATGTCAGAAAAGCGTGGCCTGCTCTAATCATGGTCTTTCTTAGCTGTGCTCATTTCGCAATAACTCCAATTCGAAGTACAAATTGCTCTCCAAAAACTCTGAGGTGAGAAGGCTTTCTTGAAGAAGAAGGCCGCATGAAATTCATTCAGTGGTTTTCTTGTGCTTTCATGCTTTGCTCTAATGCGTACTTGTTACTGTTACTGTTACTGTTACTGATTTCAATTTGGATACTTTAACATCTCCAAGCCTAAAACAGGCCCTAACAGAAAATACTGAGAAATAAGACAAAAAAGGGAAGTACCTGGAACTGCTATAAATATTTTCGGAAAGGAGTCAGTTTCTTTCGAAGCTGCCTTTAGTTCAAAAACAAAATGCCTGTTGAAATCTCCTGAGAGAGTCCGTTTCTTTCAAAGCTGCTTTTAGTTCGAAAATAAAACGCCTGTTGAAATTTCAAAAACAAAATGCTTGTTGAAATCTCCTGAAGGAAATACAGGGGGGGGGCAAAAAAAAGTCATTCCGGCCGAGTCACATATGAGCGAAGTTTTCGCAGCCCAGACAGAGGAAGTGGATATGAGTACCAGAGCGGAAGATACCTAAGATTTTCCTCTAAAAGCAGGAGCCGGCTGCCG